CTCTGTTGCCTAGAATTGCTTTTGCTATTCTAGGTTTCTTCTGTTTCTAAATGAATTTTTGGATTGTTTTCTCTAGTTCTGTGAAGTATATTGTTGGAATTTCAATTGGCATTGCATTAAATCTATATAGTAGTTTTGGAAGTATGGCCATTTTCACTGTATTGGTTCTTCCTATCCAGGAACAAGGGATATCTTTCCATTTTCTTATATCCTCCTCGATCTCCTTCAAAGTGCTGTCAGTGTAGAGGTCTTTTGCTTACTTTGTTAGGTTGATTCCTAGATATTTCATGTTTTTAGATGCTACTATAAAAGTATCTCTCTTTATTTTTGCTAGTTAGTTACTGTAGTCTGTATTTTCAGTAAGATAATTTGAAATTCCACCAAAAGCTACATTTCCTTGGCCTCTACAACTCTAATTTCTACCATAGCCATAATACCTATGATTTGGCTTCAAATTAAGCAACACAAACTCAGAGGGGATGGGAGGAACCTAGTGAGAAAGATGGACATCTGCTGATTCATTCTTCATTCCTCCATTCATTAGTATTTACTGATATTTACACGTGCCAGCCCATGCTAGATATTGGAGATACAACAAACATTAAGTACAACACACTCTCTGTTCTCCAAGACTTTAAGATTAAGTGGATTAGGCAAGTGAATGGAGAACAAAGAACAGTTAAGTATGTATATCAATAAAATGTGACTATGCGGAGCTTAGGGTTTTCAAACTGAATATACCAACCAGATGACTGAGAAGTCTAAAGATACTGTGATTGGGGATTAAGAGGAAGAAAGAGAATGGAGGAGAAATACACAGAGCAGTGATTCTTAATCACATGGTCTTATTTCTGTGGTCTTATTTCTGTAGGGCATTGTGGAAGCTGTAGGGACATCAAGGTTGTTGGAAATGAGTGAAGAGGGTTAAAGGTATTAAGAGGTAAGAAATACTAGGTGCCTATGTGCTCACTGTCCTGTGCAACTGTTAAAATAATTCTGGTCTGTTGTTATATATTCTAATCCTACATTTTAGTCACTTTTATATGGTCTATGATTCTTTTATGGTATAATTTTATCTTACTGCTCTTAAGTGCAATCTCTCTTTTTTTTTTTTTGAAACCTGGGATCTCAAACATACCAAGCACTCTCCCACTGAACTACTCCGGTCCCCCTGACCTTATTATTGTAACTGTTGTATATCATCTAGTATACTAGCATCTGTGTATTTCCACACCAAATACACATTATAAATCATTTTGCTTTATTTCATATTTTATATTTAAGATATATTATTTTAAGAAATTAAGTCTGTAGTAATTATTAGCTACTAATTTCATTTCAGGTTAGTAAAAGAAGTCTCCTGTTTCTTACAAATATTTTTCATAAAAAGTGGGAGGGTTTTGACCTGATAAGGTTGAGGATTAAGAATTTAGATCTGTATCTAGACAAAGTGTGAGTTTACCCAATCCAAAATTAGCCCTGATTTGTTTCAATCAACTTTCTAAGACTAGAACGAGTATAGTAAAAATTCTAAAACTTGAACACAGTATGAGAAAAATATTTAGTCTCCTAAAATAAAGCAAAGTAGCTCAAGACAACTCTCTTAGAGCTAAAAATATGAATAAAAAAGTAATCAAAAGAGCCACTTAGTTAATGGGAAAAGAAGTTTGGAAATTAAAATTAGGATGCTCAGACTGGCTCTGAAAATAATACAGGTGAAAGAAGAAGACAAATTTAGCTACTAGAGTTTCTCCAACGACTGTATAAAAATAAGCACATTTCAGGTTAACAAAATGAGTATTAACTGCTGATCTTGGAAGAAATGTATTACAGCAAATTGATTTCTCACTAGAAAATGTCTTGAGAGCTATTCAAACCTAACGGTATTATGTCCGCAACTCTTAACAATTCTGCTACACAGCTGTCTCTCTGAATATGAGAACATGTCTGTCCTTGTGGCACAAACTGGCAAATTTAATTAAGCTGCTGCAGCAACAAGATGCTGACTCAGATATGCCAGAGTAGGAATGTCAAGAAACTCTAGCAGCTTAAATTGGCTACATTCAGCGAAGAATGGGATGGCAGTACATCAAGATCATTTCCAAGTGCAGTGCTGTCAAAATTTTCATCAGGGTGTAAACCAACAGTACCTGACAGGGTTTCTCTACCCACATTTACAGCATTATATTTTATTTCAGGTGATAGTTTGAAGTTTCCTCCCTTCATTTTGTCAACTACCCATTCTTCTTCATTTTACTGAAAGATTCTATGGAAAAAGGCAGAATCCAAAATTGTTGTTTTCCTATACTTTAAGTCTGCTGGTTTGGCAGCCTCTTTAAAAGTACCATTTGGGGAGAAAAAAAAGTACCATTTGGAAATGATACTTCTGGCCTACATTTGGAGTCTCCCTATATTTCCTGAGTTTGATTTACTTTTCTATAAAGATTGTGTTAAAAATTCAGCTCTTTTCTATTTGAAGCTACTTTTCCTCTTGTTGGCTTAAAACTCAGTTATAAATATCTGCAACCAGAATCTTTAATTTTAAATAAAGGCAAACGTTTATAGTGGTTATTTCTATACAAGTGGTTCACAGGGCATTTTAATTCTGTTTCTTACATAACTTTCCAAATATTTTATAATGAACATAATTCATTTTTGCTGCTTCACAGGAAAGAAACACCATATTAAGTTATCACATGAGTCATATGTAAAAGTGTAATTCCAGTGGTTCTTTCATTTTATAAACACATACAGAGCATGCAGAGTAACAGGAAAGCTCTTTATGTTGAAATTAAGAGTAAAGCCTTTTTGGCCAGGCGTGGTGGTGCAAGCCAGTAACCCCAGCACTCGGGAGGCTGAGACAGGAGGATTGGCAGGGGTTCGAGGCCAGCCTGGGCTACAGAGTGAGATCCTGCCTCAAAAAACCAAAAATAAACAAATAAAAACAGAGTAGAGCCTTCCTGTGACAAGACAAGGGTTGAATAAAAGCCTCCTATTGTTAAAAGTGGTGTGATTAAAGGTGTCAATATTTTCCAACATGTCAAAGAATACATAAAATTAAATGAAAAATTAGGGCTAATAAAAATTTTATATTCTTCCTGGTATTTCCACCAAGAAAACAGTTGTAAATTAGTCGTAGAGTCTGAAAATCCACCCCTTCCTATAACAATACTTCATAAAATTGACGGTTAGGGGAAAAAAAATCTAGAAACATATCAGAATTCCTTGTGTCTTTATTGTTTTCTATATAAAATGGTAAATTACGCTAGTAAGTTATTTTGTGCTGTATACAAATCTACAGAAAAACAAGCAGAATCTGAAGGGAGAAGAAAAGATTTTAAGGAGTTTGGCATACTCAAATGCCAGCCAAATGTCCTCCGCTCCCCATCTTTTTTTTTTTTTGGTAGTTCTGGGGATTGAATCCAAGGCTTCTGCACTGAGCTCCATCCTGAGCCCTATGTATTTATTTTATTTTGAGACAGGGTCTCAGTTAATGAGTTGCCCAGAGCAGTCTCAAACTTGCACCTCTCTGGCTCAGTCTGCCAGAATGATGTGACCGCAGACACGCACCTGCACGCTCACTTTGCCCTCTGCCTTGTACAAAATGAGGCTATAACCCACACCTAAGTTATACTGAACAAAATGAACCCAAAAAGAACCAGACACTTTTAAGAAGCAGTGAAAGGATGAACAAAATCAATACCAAAATATTTTAGTCTGAAGTATAAGTGAGATAGAAGTTCAAAAGTAGTAAGATTTTTTTTTTTTTTTTTGGTCCAGGGATTGAACTCAGGATCTTGCACTTCTGAGGCACGTGCAACACCACTGAGCTAAATCCCTGGTCCAAAAAGATTTTTAATAAAAGGTAAAGATGTAGGTTTCTAATCCCGGGATACTACAGTTTGACAGGCATTCTTTGAATCAAAATAAACAAAGGCAATTCTTTAATTGGTAAGTTTTATGAAATTATCAGTAAGAAATGACACAAGTCGAATCGCAGAAATATGTTTTAAATCCATAGATGCACACACAAAAAGGGGTCTATCAATTTTCTACACCTGACATTAGTGAAGACATTAAAATGTGCTTGTTTCATGAATGTTTGTAACAGCAATCTGGTAATATTCATCAAAATAAATACGCATATACCTTCCGCTTAAAAAATTTGCCTTATTTACTGTAATAGTAAAGGAGTGGAAATGAGCTAAATGAGTATCAATAAGTCACTTAAAATTATACACCTCAATAGAATACGAAACAGCTACTGAAAAGAATGAGGTCAAATTCAATGTACTACTATAAGAATATTACCATGATACATTAGGAGAAGGCAAGTACCACATAGGAGGCAAGTTACCTATGCACAGGATGCTCCTTTTGTATTAAAAAGAAAGGGCACATTAATGGATGCATGCTGAATGATGCACCATGATAAGCAGAATGAACTCCACAGATATAACCTTAATCCTCTGAGGTTCACATTTAAAAGGTTGGGTTCAAAGTGCAAAATAAATGTTTCTTAAATATTTGGGGAATCTGATGATTGGCCATGACAAGAAACCTGAAGGTAAGGATGGCAAAAGACCTGAGAAATACCAGAGTGACCAGAATACTGCGAAGAAAACTAGAAGAGTGAGACAGCTCCCAGTCCAGCAGTGAGGGTGGAAACTAGAGTAGAGTGGGATGTTCAGCTGAAAGCAAGCACAGTGGGGTATGTAGTGAATGAAGCTTTTTATCCTGTTTGTCACTCCATTCTGTCAATCTGTTTTTTGATGGGAAGCTAAATCCACTTACACTTACAGTAATTACTGAGAGAGAAAGATTCACTGTTTTGTTAAATGCTTTCCGTATGTCTTACAGCTTTTTTTGCTCATTTCCTCCCAGTAAGCATATACAAGTCTTTAAAGAAGTCTAATTACAAATGAGGAAAGAAGTAAGATAATGTCTAGAGTGGAATGTGGGCTTCAGGGATTATTTAAAACAGGAAAACTTGACCACATTCAACTACTGATCAAGATGATAGAAAATGGGAGAGAACACAGATACAGGAACAAGAGGTGACACTGGCAGAGAGGAACATGAGAAGGCAGGAAAACATGGATATAGGCTTCCTCCGTAGTAAAAAAGAAAAGGATGAAGGAAATGCATCTGTTGGTTTCCCAACTAATCCACAATGAAGCAGAAGGTCAATCAAAAAGGAAAGAGTTGCTATTACAGGCACGTGAGCAGGAAGAAGTGAAAATTATCACTAAATAGTCATTTTCATCCCAGAGAGGAAAAACAGCTTTGGCAATCTGGCAGTAGCGATTAAAATATAAAGGGTATATATTGTGCAACTAAACAATTCAATTTCCAAGAATTGATCTTTAAATTGCAACAAAAAAAATCTCACCAATTATTATTTACAATTATAAAAAGAGAGAAATACAAACATTTTACAACATAGAATTACATAAATG